GTGACGTCACCCCCGCCCCAACCAATCAGACGACACCAAGGGGGCGGAGCCAGGTGAGATCTCAGCCACGATTGGTCTTTATTGCGGAGCGGGGGGCGTGGTCTCGGTTGGCCCCGCCCCCGGGGCGGGCAGCGCTGTCTGGTAGATCACCACGGGCTGTGGGCGGGGCAGGGGGCGTGGTCAGTGTGAGGCCACGCCCTCTTTGTCCCTAACCCCGCCCATATAAGCCCCGCCCCCCCTGCTGTCACTCACCACTGGCCCCGCCCTGGGGCGGGCCCTGGACGCCGCCACGCAGCCAATCACAGCAAGCACCGCCCCCGCAGCCGATGACGTCAGCAGCAGCACCTGCGTGCCCAACAGCGCCCCCTGCAGGACACCGGAAATGGGGAGAAATGGTGGGAAAATGGTGAAAAAATTACATGAAATTGACACAAATTGACCCCAAAATGACCAGAAATTGACACAAAATGACCCAAAACTGACCAAACTGAACCAAAATTACCCAAAATTGACCTGAAATTGGCACAAAATTGATCCAAAATTCACCCGAAATTGACCCAAAATGACCCGAAATTGACCCAAAATTGATCCAAAATGACTGGAAATGGTCCCGAAATGTCTCAAATTTGACCCAAAATCAACTTAAAATTGACCCAAAATTACCCAAAATTACCGGAAATTGACCCAAAATTGACCCATAACTGCCCCCGAGTGACCGGAAGTGACCATAAATGACCGGGAGTGACCAGAAGTGACCGGAAGTGACCGTAAATGACTGAAAGTGACCATAAGTGACCATAAATGACCATAAGTGACCGGAAGTGACCATGAGTGACCGACAGTGACCACTGAGTGACCGGCAGTGACCGGAAGTGACCATAAATGACCTGAAGTGACCGGAAGTGACCTGAAGTGACCATAAATGGCCGGAAGTGAGTGTAAATGACCGGAAGTGACCATAAATGACCATAAGTAACCATAAATGACCGAGAGTGACCATAAGTGACCGTAAGTGATCATAAATGACCTGAAGTGACCGGAAGTGACCGGAAGTGACCATAAATGACCGGAAGTGACCATAAGTGACTGGAAGTGACCATAAATGACCGGAAGTGACCATAACTGACCGGAAGTTACCATGTGACCATGAGTGACCAGAAGTGGCCATAAGTGACCGGAAGTGACCATAAATGACCTGAAGTGACCGGAAGTGACCATAAATGACCATAAGTGACCGGAAGTGACCATAAATGGCCGGAAGTGAGCATAAATGACCGGAAGTGACTGGACGTGACCATAAATGACCGGAAGTGACCATAAGTGACCAGAAGTGACCATAAGTGACCGTAAGTGATCATAAATGGCCGGAAGTGACCGGAATTGACCATGAGTGACCAGAGTAAGTGACCATAAGTGACCATGAGTGACCATAAATGACCATAAGTAACCATAAATGACCGGAAGTGACCATAAGTGACCGTAAGTGATCATAAATGACCTGAAGTGACCATAAATGACCGGAAGTGACCAGAGTGACCATAAATGACCGGAAGTGACCAGAATTGACCATGAGTGACCAGAGTAAGTGACCATAAGTGACCATGAGTGACCGTAAGTGATCATAAATGACCTGAAGTGACCATAAATGACCGGAAGTGACCAGAGTGACCATAAATGACCGG